TATGTACATCACCGATGACTCATAGGTAAAGTTTATATTCATTCAATAAGATACATTTTTTTAAGTAAAGGGTTTTAGGAAAATATTATTAATTAATGGAATATTAAAGTATTGTCTTTTTTATATTCGGTTAACTAATAAAGAAGTGTTCATTAGTTGCTATCTTGATGGGTGAACTTATAATTATCACATGAGGACGCGAGCAAGACCGAAGACCTTAGATCTATCGACCATTGATATTTGTGCTACTCAAGATAATCTGAAGAAAAATAATAGAGAAGGACGCTATAAATGTTGGGCGAGAATAAACTCTTTTTATTCTTTACTATTGTGACAAATCGTCAATTTACCTGGCTGTGCTTTTTCCGGTTTCAAACCGATCATCAGCAGAGATCATCTGTGATCGTTTGAAACAAACAGCTGCTGCTCATCTAGAGCAGCTACCCGCACGAATAATTCGAAGCGAACTTGAAAATGTACCTGTTCACATTCTCAGTCAGCTGCCGGAAAGACATAATTTGGCCAAATCTATGAGAAAATATCGGCGTAGAGATTTACCTTCAAATCCAAAATCTTTGGCGGAGTTAAACGATATTCCGGAACGTTTTTCAAATACATTATCGGGGGAGAAGTTCCTTATACACGATTATGACGTTAATGAAATAAAAATCCTTGTTTTTGCTACGCGGCGGAACCTAGAATTTCTTGCGAAAAGTAAAACTTGGTTCTTGGATGGCACATTTAAAGTTCGTTTAAATAAAAAATTGTGTAGTAATTGTTTTTCCGTATAATTTTTTTTAATAACCTTAATTCTTAATTTGTAAAATTGCAGGTGTCTCCTACAATTTTCAAGCAAGTCTTCACTGTAATGGGAATGGTTAAAAAAATCCCACGATTGAACCCGAATATGTTATTACATATTTCCTTTGGTTTTTGCTCTCCTTTCATCAAAAGAAACCGCGCAATATACCATGGTTTTTACGGCTATTGACAGAGCAGCTGCGGAATACGGAATTGGAAACTGTAAGCCACAGAGGATTATGGGAGACTTCGAGAAGGGCATCATAAATGCCTGCGAAGAGATTTATCCTGGAATTCATTATTCTGGTTGTTTTTTCCACTTCTGCCAGTACATTTTTCGAAAAGTTCAAGGGGTAGGACTGCAGCAGCAGTACAATGATGCTGCTGATAGAAATATAAAACTTTGGTCTCATATACTCATGGCACTGGCATTTGTACCAGAAGAAGACTTCCGGGTGACCTTGCAAACAGTAGAGGAGGATATACCAGAAGATCTTCTTCCTATTGTTGATTACCTGAGAGAGTTTTACGTCATTGGGCGACCAGGTGCTGGTCGAAGAAGGGCCATACCACCCAGATATCCTATACGATTGTGGAACCACTATAGGTCTGTACAAGAAAGCCAGCATAAGACGAATAACTCCAGTGAAGGATGGCACAACCGTTTCCGTCTTCTAATGGGAAAAAATCACCCAGACTTATATTCGGCTTTACAAGAATTTCAGAAAGAACAGGCTGATACAGAAGGCATGATAGCCGAATTGAGTCTGGGGAAAGCAGTAAAAGCTGCTCCCAAGAAGAAATGGATAGAAGCCCAAATTCGCCTGCGGTCACTTGTGCTACAATACGAAGATGACCATTAACGAATAGACAGGCAAGCGCCAAGACACGTCAGTGGCGTGACCGACTATGTGAATTTTTTCTCTTTTTTTAATTACTCGAATTAAAAAAACGCCCTTTTGGAAATAACATATTTTTTGGGAAAAAATGACAGCTTTCGAACTAAAATATTTTCAAAAAAATAAAAAGGGTCGTAAGTTGAAAAAAATGAATTTTTAGTTTAATTTTTCAAAAAGGGGTTAAATTTGATTTTTATTAAAAAATTTTTATCATCAAAAAGTAGGTTAAAAAACTAAAAATAAAAATTGGAATGAGATTTTTGTGTACATACAAAAGGAAAAAAGTTACAGATGATCGAAAAAGTGGATTTTCATCAAAAATGAAATAATTCAGCCCCTTCCACATCCCACAGTTTTTTAATAAACTTAAAAATATTCCAGGTCTAAAGTCCTAGCCAATCAGGTAACAATTCCTGAAAATCTTAGCCCGATCCAAGGAACTTCATTTTTGGACCTGTGAGACCTAAGGAATATTGCCTAATATGCATGTTGTTATGGAGGGATTTGTGCTAATACTATGCGTACGTATTAGTGTGCGTAGAATTCTACTGAGTAAGCCGAAACGAAAAGCCCAGCCAAGATATCTCCTCACTTCTCGCAACCAACAAACTGCAAAAATTATACCTCCTTTTTCTAGTCTTCTTGCACAAAAATATAAACTAAAATTCTAATATACTTATGTTTCAAAATTTCACTTAAGGGAAGGTTACCGTTCTCGATGGAAATCAGTGAGTTGACCTGCAGCTTCTGCGGCGCGCACTTGCACCAACTACTTTCTCCTGGTAGACAGTTTTTATGTTGAGTTTTGTCATCCATGGAATATGTATGGAGAAAAGTTGACCAAAAAGCCTTTTTCAATTCATCTACTGAATCAGGGTGCCTTCTGATAGCTACACCGTAATATAATGTGAGGTATTTAATCAGCTTGTTGGTCAACATGCCTTTGCCTTTCCCTCCAATCCCAATTGTAAACAGCGCTTTTACCAGTACGGATCAGGATAAAAATAAATTATTAACGCGAAAGGGTGTATTCCCTTATGAGTATTTAGATTCGCGGAGTAAGCTTGATGAGACTGAATTACCTCCCAAAGAGAAGTTTTACAGTACTCTTTACGATGCCGACATTTCTGATGAAGAGTATGAGCATGCGCAGCGTGTATGGTCCGAGTTTGATTGTCAAAATCTCAATGATTATGTACACTTGTACATGAAAACTGATATCTTATTGCTTGCGGATGTTTTTGAGAATTTCCGAGAACAATGTATTAAAGCGTACGGATTAGATCCAGCACACTATTATACAACCCCAGGTATCAGAGGTGGCATTAGTCAATGTTGCAACCGCTATGCCAAAGCGAATAATCCTTATATGGAGAAATTCGATGAAAACGAAGATACAAGTTATATAATATACTTCGATGCCAACAATTTGTATGGCTGGGCAATGGCACAAGCGCTCCCATATGGTGGTTTCAAATGGGTTGACAACATTGATGAATCCTTTGACTTTAATGTACCTGACGACGTTTCAGTCGGGTACATTTTGGAAGTCGACTTGGAGTATCCTAAAGACATCCACGATACTCATAAAGATATGCCATTTTTGCGCTGAAAATGCAAAACTACCTTTATCGAAGCAAGAGAAATTATTAACTACTCTCCTGCCCAAAGAAAAATATGTCATTCACTATCGAACGCTAAAGCAAGTTCTTGCAAACAGTGTTAAGCTTGTTAAAATCCACTGTGTCTTACAGTTTAAGCAATTACCTTGACTTAAAGCCTACATCGATTATAACACAATAATGCGAACCAACGCCAAAAATGAGTTTGAGAAAAATCTGTTCAAGCTCATGAACAACACGGTGTATGGTAAGACGATGGAAAATGTCCGTAAGCATGTCGATGTGAAGCTTGTCACCAAATGGTTTGGCCACTACGGAGCCGAAGCTCTCATCGCATTCAAACTCGAACACAGTATAACATTAGATCGCGGATACACAATGTCGAAACTGTGAAACAGTTGAAGGTAGCCCTAAGTCCACAAGACGATAAACGGTACTTGTAACCGGGAAGTACCGACACTCTACCGTGGGGTCACTATGCGATCCCAAATCTCGATGATTTGTGAATAGTTGATAAGTTCGAGAAAAAATGTCGGGAAATGTAAAGGCTGTGATAAAAGAAATAAATAGAACAATTGTATTTTAATTTCATATGTTTTACATTTAAAAATTCCTTCATTATAACATTGATTCAACGTTGATTCAACATTGATTCAACATTGATTCAACATTGATTCAACATTGATTCAACATTGATTCAACATTGATTCAACATTGATTCAACATTGATTCAACATTGATTCAACATTGATTCAACATTGATTCAACATTGATTCAACATTGATTCAACATTGATTCAACATTGATTCAACATTGATTCAACATTGATTCAACATTGATTCAACATTGATTCAACATTGATTCAACATTGATTCAACATTGATTCAACATTGATTCAACATTGATTCAACATTGATTCAACATTGATATAATTTTAATAATAATAATAATGCAGGGTAATGTCAATGACCCATGTTGAATTCAAGGGTTAAAAGAAAGAATTTTATTTCGAAATAGAGTTTACTGAATGTTTCGCAATTATAAAAGAGCAATAGGTATATAATTCGTTATACCGGGGATGCTGACGCATGAAATTCCATGGCGATAGCGCGGATCTTGGACTTGCTGTCGGAAATAAAGCGAGTCCAAGACAATTGGAATTTAAAAATAAAAAAAAGATTAATTTAATATTAATAAATTAATTGTTAAGTTACGACGTTACAAACCACTGTGGAATTCCGTTTATCGTCCCCGAAAAACTCAAAGCTCTTGAGCTCATCATGGATCATACATAGAGATATAAAGGCATGGCATAGAAACGGTAGCGGATTGCTGTATTGTTCTCGCATAGGTGTTAAGGAGTCGCTTATACATTCATCTTGAACACCAAGATCCGCGCTACAATGTATGTCGCGGTACAGACTCCTATCCCTAGTTAAATTAATAAATTAATATTTTAATTATTTCTCGCATAATTTAATCGTACTAATAACAAATTACGCACTCTGTTTTTCCCCTATTTATTTATTATTATTATTTTTTTTTTTTTATATTTTTATTTTTGTTTTTTTTAATATTATTATTTTTTTTTTCTTTTTTTTAACTTTAGTATTTTTTAATTTTGTAATGTACCGAATATATACGTATCAACATAGTTTAATAACTCTTGATTTACTTTTAGTCAGTCAATTCCTTAGCGAGGATATATATATATAAAAATTTCTTTTAACTATTCGCATGGTTAGTATTTTAAGCAAGTTACGCTGGTTGTAGTTTTTGAGGTGGCAGCACGACTTTTATTCGCTGGGCTGCTGATGGCATAATTGTTTCAGTATCTTCTGATGCTTGTAGTGCTTTGACCTCCCCTGAGGTAGAAGTACTAGGTGTCTCCAGTGACCCCACGTCCATCATTGATGTTGAAGGTTCCTGATTTGGTTTAGAGTTGTATGAGGTTGAATTCCGAACTTCAATATTGACATGGTCCTGCAAGGATGTTGGATTGCAACCTCTAGGATTTTGTGGCGATGAATAGGTTTCATTTAATTCGGTCCGAAAATTAGATCCAATTTTTGGTTGTTTTTGTTTTGGCCTAACGACTGTTGAGATAGTATAGGCCCCATTTGAGATTGGTTTTCTGCATAAATACAGTATGATGCAGATGATGATTGCAGTCAGTCCTCCGTACGAACCGTAGGTTAGGGTTGTTTGTTTATCCTTAAGATGACGTTGAACTGCGAATGCTTGTAACTCCTGTTCTAATTCGTCTAGAGTTTTTGAATTGGAGTCAAAACTGGACATTTTTGAATGAGGGTTACTCATTTCATTTCGTTGATTTTCCAATGCAAGGGCAAAATCAGCGTGCGTTGATATAAGAGGTGATATTTCCAAGAGGTCTAAGTGTACCTCTGCTCCGTAGATTAACTCTGATTGACCTTTTTGTGCAGGATTGGCAGGGATGGTGACATCTTGGGTGTGGATAGAGCATCCAGGTGCTAATTTCATGATTCCTACACCTGTCAGGTTATGCTCTACTGGATTCATAGAGTGACAGAAGATAGTGATGATTTCCGGCCTTGCAAAGGAATAGAGCCAGGAGGCCAATGTTCTTAATGGTCTCCAGTAAGAGTTTTGGGTTGAGGTTATCCTGATTGGGCAGGATCTCATATCTTCTATGGTGGGTTTGATTAAAAGTTTTGGTTCGCATGCTGGTCTTTCATGGAGATCATAAATGGGTACACCTTCTAAACAAGCGTTGTAAGCAGCTGTTGTTCTACAGCTTTTCCATTCTTCTTCACTAAGGAAAAGATAGGTCCTTTTGGCGTCATCCATAACAAGATAATCATGCTCTGAACTCACATATGCTCTCTGGAGTCCGCTCCCCAATTTTTGAATGGTAGGGAGTGGATGGATCTTGAATGCCTGATAGCGATAGTTTTCTAATAATGGAATATCGATGAGGATTTTTATATTATCGAATTCGCACCAAATGGAAGTCGTCGCTATCCTGATTAGCTCGTCGATGTTGATCTTGGGACCACGTAGTGGAAAACGAACATCTGTCAGGTTGTCTTGAATATCGCGTAGGAATGGCTCCAATTGTTCGGAAGAGATGATTCCGAGATGTAATAAGCCTCGTCTAGCATCATGTACTGCGTCCAACATAGTGGATGTAATTTGAACGTGATGATCCAATCCAAGTTTTATTCCGGTGAGGATAGAAAACACCATATCTCTTCGTGATAATTCTTCTTGCATAGGTACAAAAGTGTCGAATCTAGATGATAGATTTTGTAGGTCTTGTTCAATTTGCCCTATTCGGATGTCATGGCGCTGATACTGCGTGTGAAGAGTATCTAATTGAGATCGGACAATGTGCGTCTGCTTCCCGACAAGATGTGAAAGATTGGCTTGGGCATCGTTAAGGTCTCTTATTTCGGCATCATAGCGCTCTCCGTCGTCATAATTGAGAACGCCGGCTACAGGCCCTGCAATTTTGCCCAAGAATCCGAGCAGTGGTACACTTCGCCGGATTCTTAATTGAGATGATAGTTTTTGGGGAAATCTAGAATTAGTGTTTTGTAGTTCTAGGATTTGAATTTGGAACTGATTTTGTAGCTCTGCGACCACTTCCCATTATTATGATCTTAACCTTAGAAGGCCGAGCCTTCAGATCATACCGCTCCTTGGATCGTTCTTTTGCTTGGATCAATCTTTGGGCAGCCAAGTTCTGAAGCTCGTGCAATCTAACTATTAAATCTCTCAGATATACACCGTAAGTTTCCAATTCAGGGCCTTGCGGAAACGAACTCGGTATACGGGCCATTCGACCAAAAACTAACTCGTATGGCGTAAAGTTAGTTGCCTCATGGACTGACGTGTTATAATTGAACATCGCAAACGGAAGTAAACGATCCCAATCGTCAAAATCGTTTGCATAATGTTTGATATAATCCGTGAGCTCAATGTGGCTTCTTTCCAAAGCTCCGTTAGTTTGAGGGCGGTAACCTGAAGTTGTGATTTGTTTAGTACCGAAAATTCGTTCTAACTTCCGCATCAGAGAATTAATGAAACTTCCCCCTCTATCTGTAAGCACACAACGTGGTGCTCCATACAGAGAGAAAAGATTCGTTGCTACAGCTTGTGTAATGGTCGTAGTTTTAATGTCGGGGATAGCCACTGCGATACAATACTTTGTTAAATTATCCTGCATCGTGAGGATATAACGATTCCCATTAGGGGTTGTTCTTAATTTCCCTACAGTGTCTAAGGACACTTTGTCGAAAGGAATCGCTGGAGTGTCTGTTATTAGCATAGGTTCCCGAGTTCGGGCCCTAACTAGTTTATTTTCGAGGCAACTTTTGCATCCTCGAACAAACTGTGTGACCTCGTCTCGCATCCTATTCCAATAATAACGCTCACGGATACGTCGGTAGGTTTTCGTTATGCCTTTATGGCCCCCGATAAGGCTGCCATGAAATTCGGCAATAATTTTTGGGCGTAGGTTCTCAGCAGGAACTTCAATTTTTCCGTGACAAAGAGTGATTTTGATATCACCACCGCGGAATACTCCTGCTAAGATGTCCGCCATGGTGTTTTGAGGCAAATTTCCTAGCAAGTCTCCAGAATTGGCGATACGGCAATGTATTTGGTTGTCAAGAATTAAAGCGTGTTTTAAGTTTTTTAGACCTAATGTAACGTCATTCCAGTCAAGTTCGTCGAAATGTCGTTTTTTAACTACAATAGAATGAACTCGATATTTGCCACAGAGGGTGACGTGTACTTGACATTTTTATAGTTTACTGTCTCGTATATCTTGTACGTCAATCTTTTCTGTAGCAATGAGAAGTTTAGAAATAGAATCAACTGGCTCACAATCTTCAGCTATGAAATGCGCATAATTGTCTCTCTTGAAGGTCAATGGCTCTGCCCATTGATGGAGGATATTTTCGACTTTAGCGTTGTCTTTGTCAGCGATAGGAATTTCTATAGGTTCAGGTGAAGATGACGAAGAGGATTCTATGTCGGAAATCCTAATGTCTATTGAGGATCGAACTCGCGGCACAGAGTGTTCTTGAGATGGTAAATCGTTCACTGTGGATTGTAGTCGGCGAGGCACAATATTTGGTTTCCGTTTATTTTCGTCTGGTTTGGTTACATCTTCCTTTCGAAACCGGGTAAATGGGGTTGACTGTGCTCCTGGGGCTGTTGAAGACCCTGGGGTGAAAACTGGAAAATTGGCACTATTTTCTTCGATGACTTCTGGTAATTCTTGAAATCGTACAACACTTCGCGTTTCCCGAGACAAGGGATGGCTCGTCATGGGAGTATCTTTCAAAGTTTCAGATGTTGAGGGAACAATGGTGGAAGGTATTGCCTGAGTGTCGAGTTCCTGTTCCGGTGATCTTGCATTTCCCCGATTTTTATTGAAGCTTTCCAAAAATTTGTTAACTCGTTCTGCAAAAACATCGTCATTGGTTTCTTCGCATGGATCCATAGCTTTTAATTGCTCAAGATATTCTTCATCGTTTTCTCCTTCCGATACATAGGCTCTACTTCTTTGGGTTTTGTTCATAAATTCATTATCCCACATTAGAGTTTGATCGTAGATATAAGATTGGGTTGCTCCTGCATTTACTGAAGGTTCGACTAGTTGAGACGATTGATTGCATGAAACGTTTGGAATCGTTGACTCACGTTCAACCTCGGTATCAGAAAAGGATTCGGAGCTTTCTTCGCTGTCAACTGGCCTGGGAGGTCCTACGACGACCACTGGTTCCGAGGGTGTTTCTTAGACATGTTCCTCATCTGAAGAGTCAGAGGAGCTGGAGTCTGAGGCTAGTTCAAGCATCGCGCCTTCTCTTGCCAAACGATCAGCATTTTCGTTTCCGTCGACTCCATTATGACCAGGTACGTGTTCCCAAATAACGTCTGTCTTTTTCATTGCCTTAAGTAGTCGCTCATATGCACTTTTATTTTTCACTGGCTTATTCTCATTTGTTTTCCAGCCATTTTGCTGCCATTTTGGAAGCCATTCCTGGACTCCTTGGACGAGGGACTTCGAGTCGGATTTAATCTTGAGATGTTGGAATCCGGCTCTTTTTGCCTGCTTGATGGCTGCTACAGCTGCTTCGATTTCAGAGGCATTGTTGGTCTGCCGACCTCCATATCGCTTGGAGATGTTAAGTGGATTGTGTGGTCCAAACCACACACCAATTCCAGCACGTGCACGGACTCCTCCGTTGTCGCAACAAGCGCCATCTACGTAAACGTCGATGTATGGAATCAGTGGATTGGGAATGGCAGGTTGAGAAGTTGACGGAATGTTCTCCTCTGGAGATGATTTTCTCGATGTTATATGCGGGGGAACACTAGGGAAAACACTATGATCAGCGCGGAAAACGGGAGCTTCAGATGTCTCTTCATTTTCGCTTTCTGATGCGGGTTCGTCGGAAGAAGATGATTGATTTTCTTCGGGTAGAGCTTTTTCTTGAATTTCCAACTTTCTTTTTCTTAGCCGTTTTGCAATGCTACTGATGTTGGGATCAACATCCTTCGTTCCTGTAGGGGGAACGTAAGTGTCTTCGTCTCCTTGTTCCTTTAATTTAGTAGATCCTGGAGGTCTTCCTCGAGGTCTGGCAGCAGGTGGATTTGTTGCTGCTGATGTTCCAGGGACAGAAAAATTATCTGCACTTGCACGTACGGATTTTGATTTTATTACAGGTCGTGATTCTGTCGCTAGAGTTGGTTTTTTCGTGGATCCTGTGGATTTTGTTGCTCGAGATGTCGCCGGTGGAGGTGGTGGTTGTCTCGCTCCCCATGGTGGTCTCGTCAGCTTTGAAGATGGCGGATTATCCCTCTTTTCTCTTGTAGGATTAGGAATCGGATTAAATCGTGGAGCAGGTGTTTTCGTGTGAAGGCTCTGTGATCTTGTCAGGAGTCTTTGGGGTGCACTTGATTGAGAGGATCCGGTATTGTCTTGATTGTTTCCCGAATTCACTCGCGCACTTTCACTACTTTTTGCTTGAGTATCTGTTTGTGTAATAGGCAGGGCACGTAGTGGGGGTGAACTATTTTGAGGTTCAATACTAGGTTCACTTTGTTTATCCTGACTAGATTCCTCAGATGAATCGGTCCATTCTGATTCGGGGGATTCTACGTCCTTCTTTTCAGGGTCATTAGCGTTAACAGGATGGTTTGACAGGGCCTCAACAATTCTACTAATTTTGCCTGGTTTATACTCAAATTTATAGCGATATCCGCGAAGTTTCAACCGCCATTTTTGGAGCCGAGTACCTGGATTTTCGACATCATTCA